AGCAGAGCCTGTCCAGCTGATGATTTGCTGAAGGGTTGGGTTACATAGCAGATGTCACCCTGTCTTCTCCCACATGGCTGGACTGTCCAGGCAGAGCTCCATCATGATTTTATATGCACAGGGAGGGGGGCAGAGCCCAGCAGCAGCCCACCAAAACCAGAGACTTGGGAAATAATTTAACCCTTTTTCTCCCTGCTGGGCAGCAACTATCTAGCAGTTCAATCCACTTACTTGAAAAATACAAGTAACATTTCTACATCTGCCTACATCTCCATAGTGAGAATTTCCAGAACAGGTGTTCACATTGGAAGATTTCCTATCCAGGTATATAATTGTGAATACCCCATCACTTTCCTCTCAGTGTCAGTCGTCACCAAGAGAAACAGGGTGAATCTGTCCAGTCAGTGGTGTATTTAGGTTTTGTGCTGCCCTAGGCAAACAACACAAAAATCCCCCCCCCCCATCCACCACAGAGAGAGTCTGACACTGACCACACCAATCAACACCCCACCCCCCGAGAGAGCCTTCTACCGCCCCCCCCGTACACCGGCTACCATGCCGCCCCCCCACCTAGCGAGCGACAGAGACACCTTCACAGCTCCAGACATCCCCAGGAAGGAGAGTTGGGCGCTGAATACACAATCAAGCAGCTTGCAGCCTCTTATGGATGCCATGTGTGTCTTTTCATCTGTCCCTTCTTCTGCCCCCCCCCCCCTGAAAAATGCCGCCCTAGGCAAATGCCTTGTTGTGAATACACCGTGTGTCCAGTAAAGAAACAGACAGCAGTAAAAACGGTTCTAATTCTTCCCTACTCCTTGGAAAACTCTTATCAGTCTATTTTTGAAGCCTTTAAAATCTAACCTGACACTGATCTAAAGCATATAAAATATCACTTTACCTTACATTTCTTTCTGATTTCTGCATCTGTACTTGTGCCATGAAAAAACAAGCTAAATGACCTCCAACTCTAATGGGGGAATTCCCTGTGCATATCAGCTCCCATTAATGAGCATATTTAATGAATAAATGCAGGAATTATAATGTGGGCTGACACATTAGTAGAAAGCTATTTTAGACATCTCTACACTACAGTTTAATGACTGTAATTTACTCTGCTGTTTATGGTAATATCAAAGAAATACTGGCTGTCCTCACCACCAAGCTTGACATTAGGGGGAATGTCAAGGTGTCAACATAATTCTGTGCCTGGAGTCTGTATGAGACTAGCAGCTGTCAGTGCAGTAGATCTCTGCTGTTCTCTCTGGTAAAGTGGACATCACTGGTCTCATTTGTATGTGAAATTAAGTACCTTTTGTTGCAACTCAACAACTAATGCAGTTGCCTTTGGTAATTGTCTTTGGTATGTTGGAAGTGTTTTTTTCAGACTTGGAAGATGAAGGGAATTTGTCACCTAGAAAAGAGCACTTCAAGAGCAGTTCACTATTAGTTAAAGGCTAAGATCACCTTTTGTAAAATAAATAAATGCACATGGTCTTGCAGGTAAAAAAACAAATGTGAATTTTTATTATTTTTTTTACAATGAAGTCTGGAACGCATTGTACCTGCAATCAGTAGATCACAGGTGCAATGTCAGGCTCCTGCAGACACTCAGTACAGCATTCTGCCTAGACCTTCTGTACAGACTTACAGTTACTGAAGAGCAGGAAAAATCAATGAACTACGAGGGTGCTCACGAGCGCCCTCTCAGTTCATTGAGAACTACAAGCCCTCTGCTGCAGTGGCAGACGGGACTTGTAGATCATTCATGCACAGAACTCTGTGAATAAAGGATGTGGCTGTGGGGGCAGAGCCCTGCACAGCCATACTGTTTTTAAATTGTGACAGCAGGTGAGGGGAGGTGATCCTCTGCCTGCTGTCACAGTGGGGAATTGGAGGGGTGTGGGGCTGCTGCATAAGTAACATCTTACTAAAAGTGCATATTCCTTTAAGTAAAACATTTCTGTAGTGTCTTGAATAAATAGTAAAATCACTAGGTTCACCTTTGTTAAAGTGATTTTAAAGGCTTATTCCCCTCATGTTTTGCATTGTATTGGTATTGTTCTGTCACATGTTCTGTCCCCCTCTGTAATGTACAGCACTGAGCGAACTATTGGCGCTTTATAAATACTGTATAATAATAAAAATAATAAAAGAAAAAATAACAAACATGTTATACTTACTTGCTGTGTGCAGTGGTTTTGCACAGGACAGCCAGGATACTCCTCTTCTCGGGGTCCCCGAGGCTCCTGCCCTCTCCCTCCTGTCGGGTGCCCCCACAGAAAGCATGTTGCTATGGGGGCACCCGCTGCTCCGTGTGTCCATTCACACATGGAGCCGTGGCTTGGCCCCACCCCTCTCCTCATTGGCTCACTGGTTGTGATTGACAGCAGTGGTAGCCAATGGCTCCCGCTTCTGTCTCAGCCAATAAGGAGAGGGAGTCCTGGGATAGCCGAGATTCCACTGCACATCGCTGGAGAGGGGGCTTAGGTAAGTATTAGGGGGGGTTTGGGGGAATCTGAGAAGATTTTTTACCTTCATGCGTAGAATGCATGAAGGTAAAAAAACCTTGATCATTTAAACCACTTTAACAATTTTATCACCAATGTCCAAGTATAGAGCAGTGCCCAGATCACAGGATGGAGATTGGGAGATGACCAGGTGTCCCCAGTAAAAAGTCAGGTCACCACACTGGCTGTGCTGTCTGGTAGAACTGTAAATCTCGATACTAGATTGAGTGAAGTACAAAACGTTTTGCATCCATGTGTGTGATTTATTGGTATATTTAGCTATTTGCCTGTAAACTGATCACGTGCAGAAGAAAGCTGCTATTGCTGGCTTGTTTTTAAAGCTATAGGTTTTGGTGATTTAAAGTGATTTAAAGGATTTTTTAAAAATAAAAAACGTCATACTTACCTGCTCTATGTAATGGTTTTGTACAGAGCAACCCCGATCCTCCTCTGCTGGAGTCCCCCGCTGGAGCTTCTGGGTCCTCCCCTCTTAAGGAGTACCCCCAAAGCAAGCCACTTGTTAGAAGTACACTTGTGTGGGTTCATTGCCTCTATTGATATGGCATGGTGGCTCAGCGCAGCACTCCACTCTCTCTTCATATGGTTTGATTGTGTGCAGCAGGAGCCAATGGATCCCACTGTTCTCACTGAGTCCAGTGTGGAGGGAAAGACAAAGCAGTGCCGCTGCTCTTGGGCACAGCGCTGGATTGACATTGGGCTCAGGTAAGTATTTGGGGGGCGGCAGGGGGGGTAGTTGAACCTGAAAGATTTTTTACCTTAATGCAGAGAATGCCTTTACAACCACTTCAAGCTTTACTACCTACTATTCTACTGACCTGTAATAATGCATTCAAGATGGGAGTTTTGACTTTACAGACTTCATTGTCTGCAGACTTGTTCCAGGTCAGTTACTCACTAGAAAGGGGCGCTAGGATTAGAGTAGGGGGTTCTACACCTGGACAGGAGTGGTAATGGGGGCAGCATATGCAGGAACTTATACCTTTCTCAGCGAGATCATAAACGTCCAGAGAAAAAAAATATTTAAATACTAGAAGCCAGTCTAAAGTATAGTTTTTTCTTCAGTGTTTTCAGTGAAACACGTACAGTAAAAAAAACAGACTACTATCTGCAGGGGCTTAGAGGGCCGCACAATAAATGCCAAAGGGCCACATGTGTTTTGTCAGTTTGTATTTGTTGCCTTTTGCTGGGCAAATGTAACATTCCCTAATAATCGATCCTAAAAGAAAAATAACCATCAGAACATTCAACCATAAGTCTTAAGAAACATACACCAACAAAGAAAATAGACAAAAATGGTGTGCCCCCCCCCAATTCATACCAGACCCTCCAGGTATCGTATGGATTTTAGGGAGGACCCTGCTAAATTTTTAGAAATAGACACCATGGAGTTTCTTTTTTTAAGTATATTATTTTTTACAGCTACACAGTTTAGTTCATATTTCTATGACAGCAAAAACGTGGGACAGTAAATGATAAGATGGTGTTTTATATATCACTAAGAGGGCGAAGATGGCTACACACAAAAGATACAAACTCTTCAAAAAAGGTTTTTTCTTTGAGCAGTGTATTTACTAAAAAGCAAAGCTCTACAAAGATCTGATTACTGCAGACTGCTGGAATTGCAAATATTGGGCTATATTTCTACTTCTAATAAGCAATATGTTTTACAAATCTTTTTCTGTACATGATTACATCTTTTTCTTAATTATATGTATCTTTCCTATATTTAATTTTTAGGCTGAATTCTGTGATCTAAACCTGGTGGCACACTCCAATGGAACATTCTCTGTGGATTTGGAGGTCATGAGAAATGGCGTGAAGGTGGTGAGGTGAGTCATCTAATAGGACATGGCAATAGCTGCAGAAATGTTACTATATGCTGTGGTAGCATTTATGTAAATTAAAGAGATTTCCATTCCCTACAGCCCCTTATCAAACAATAGTAGAATCTCTTTTTAATAGAGGTGAATGGAAGCTAACCTGCATGCACTTGCATGCATGACCATTTGAAGGGAAGCTAAAAGGTTCACTTAAATGTAACCTTTTCCCGGACTCAGCTGCCAATGCATACCTTCCTTTTGCTTCTCTTAACTTTTTTTACCCTCAGGAATAGGAGAAGAAGCCCTGTGTAGTCTGCAAATTCCTTTGGAGATTACACAGGGCTACCAACTCTCTTGCCACCCCCATGTCACAGTGATAAGGCCTGAGAAATGGTCACTCAGACACTCAGCATGGTGAGAGAATGCCATTTGCTCCTCCACACTGGGAAATATGGTGTATTTTGTGGGTGAACAGAGCCAAGGGGAAGAAAGGTATAGGGGTTCAGACAATTGAGTGAACAGGTTACCTTGCCTTTCTTGTACAAAGAATGCATTTACCGTATTTTTCGCTCCATAAGACGCACCTGACCATAGGATGCGCCTAGGTTTTAGAGGAGAAAAAAAACAAGAAAAAAAATATTCTGAACCAATGGACTGCAGACACAGTACAGGGGATGACCAGAGACTGTGGACACAGTACAGGGTATGCCCAGAGACTGCGGACATAGTACAGGAGATGGCCAGAGACTGCGGACACAGTACAGGAGATGACCAGAGACTGCGGACATAGTACTGGGAATGACCAGAGACTGCAGACATAGTACAGGAGATGACCAGAGACTGTGGACATAGTACAGGGAATGACCAGAGACTGCAGACATAGTACAGGAGATTACCAGAGACTGCGGACATAGTACAGGAGATAACCAGAGAGTGCAAACATAGTACAGGAGATGACCAGAGACTGCGGACACAGTACAGGAGATGACCAGAGACTGCGGACACAGTACAGGAGATGACCAGAGACTGCGGACATAGTACAGATGACCAGAGACTGCGGACATAGTACAGGAGATGACCAGAGACTGCAGACACAGTACAGGAGATGACCAGAGACTGGGGACATAGTACAGGAGATGACCAGAGACTGCAGACACAGTACAGGAGATGACCAGAGACTGCGGATATAGTACTGGAGATGACCAGAGACTGCGGACACAGTACAGGAGATGACCAGAGACTGTGGACATAGTACAGATGACCAGAGACTGCAGACAGTAAAGGAGATTACCAGAGACTGCGGACCTTTGGGGAGGGGAGGGGGAACGGGTACCTGAATTTGACAGGTACCCGCTCCCACTTCCGCGGAGGTGTCCTGTCCTTCCTTCCTCTTTCTGCGGCGGCTTCTGTGACAGCCGGGTGCCCACTGCGCATGCGCGCGAGAAGCGCTGTGCTTTGTGAATGCCCCGGAGCCTTCTGGGACCTGTCATGTGTGCCAAAGGACACCGGACCATTCTTCTCGTACATGCACAGTGGGCACCCGGCTGTCACAGAAGCCGCCGCGGGAAGACTGCAGCGCTGGAGCGAGGAACAGGTAAGGTCCTGTAGGAGAGAAGAGCTGAGCGGCTGGCCCAATATTCTGACATGGTGGCGGCAGAGAATACCGGACCGGCCGCTTTACATTCGCTCCATAAGACACACTGACATTTTCCCCCCTTTTTTGGGGGGAAAAAAAGTGCGTCTTATGGAGCGAAAAATACGGTACCTCTAGAATGACTAGCCTCTCCTTAATCAACCCCCAGTAGTTCATAATAAACAGCCTGATCATCAAACTTACCCTTTTGAATTTCATTTGTGGGGGTTTATTAACTGTACAAGGCCATAGTCAATGTCATTGCTACACCAAATTACCCTGAAAAATGCTCTCTTTCATGCATTCTATGCCTAGTTAGTTTCTAAACAACTAATCTGTTTATGTCCTTGGTGCTTTTCTCAGATTACATGAAATAAAATCAAGCACTGATCAACTGAAATCTCTCCATCAGCATAATATGAATCTTAATTTGCGTTAATCCTGTTAATTCTTGAGGTGTTTAAATTGCAACAGTCTCCTGGGATGATTGCAAGCTTTTGCTGTTTATTGACTGCCGGTGATAAATAAGAAACATTTTATGCTCTACTAGAAATAAATTACATTGATGATGAGATATAAATACTGGAAAGAAAGAAAGAAAGAAGCAGGAACAGCTAGTCAGTTTTCATTGTGCAGGTATGGCAATAAAAGAAAGGTTTGGATTGGCTGGCGTGGGTTCCACACACAGTTAATTACCTAGTTAATTGAGTTGTTTGCATCAACCCACTTTCCCCTCCGAACTAGTCATACTCTCTGCTATTTGCACAGCATCTGAATGTCTCTTTTTTGTTAGGAAAGCCAGCTCGCTGTCAGATATTTATTTTAAATTAAAATGTTATTAGAAATATTTTAATAGGTACAATACAATAACGTACTGATACGGCTTTCAAACATGGGAATACGCAAACACATGGTCAGGCAGTCAACAGCCTTGAAAAAGTGGGTCACTAGAGATATGACCAAGAATAACGGACCTAACAATAGAGAGGGGAAAGAACAGTTACCACTTTCAGAAAATCAATGGATCAGCAGTCCATGTGAAGCAGTGTCTCTAAGATCTCCAGACAATGAAAGCATGCAGATACAAGGTGTTGGCCTACTGGGTGAAAACCTAGAATCCAGTTCTCACAACATATTCAAACAGGTATTGTAGCCTGAGGGAAACATAACATAAAAAGGATAAGATTACTGGAAAAAAGGAAGTACTATATTTTAAGCTAAGAGTAATCAGGGAAAAGATGTAGAGAAAGAGAAAAGTGAGTTAAAGGATATAGGACAGACCAGGGTGACGACCAAGTGGTTTTAATTCTATGTTAAGGAAACAACCGGTGGAGAAGTATTAAATGAGAGCTTCAAAGCAAATCTGGGGTCCCACACCCGTTTGTAAGCAATGACAATTGTTTTTCACTCTGGCTGTAAGAGCTTCCATAAATTTAACACTAGGTAGTGAGAGACCAAGCAGGTGTATGGCTGGCTCAAGCGTGACATGGATTTGTAAGAGAGTGTAGAGAAGGCTTCTCTTTCCAGCCAAAATTCCATATTTTAGGGCAGATCCATTATATATGGAACAATGTTCATAAGTGCCGCAGACGTCTCCAACAATGGTCTGGAATAGTAGGGCTAAGAGTATGAAAAATAGCAGGGGTGATACCAAAGTTAGAGAATGTTGAACTGGTTTTCTTTGCACACTGTAGAGAGATGATTTGTATGTTTTCCCCAGATTTCCCTTCATTCCTCTACTGTAAATTCTCTATTTAAAATACATTCCTATCTTATCATATAGTTGTGCTGTTTAGGCGTATCAGAGCTTAGGGCCACCAGAAGTTTATAAATGTTGAGGACCTGGCCCCTGCATGTCGCACCCATAATGCAAAGCTTTTCAAAGGGTGTAGGAAAGGAGAAGGTCAAGTTGGGGGCAATAGATTGGTCAAAATGTTTAATTTCAAGATAGCTAAACTATCACGTACCTGGTGTTAGAGGCCAATGGAGAGAGGGCTTCCCTTGCTGCTAAGTTCCAGACTCCCCTGAGAGTGGGACAGCAGGATTCAGGCCCAAAGTGGCACAGGTCACCTGTAGGAGTGCTCGTTGGTGGTCCACCCAGGAGCACAGCTGCTGCACTGAGATGGGATCTGCAGACAGGTGGTGCCTGTGCGAGGTATGCAAGCCTTCCAGGAAACAGAGGATCACAGGATAGCCAGTTCAAAGCTGAGGTCAGGTACCAGGTGGAAATCAGAGCAGATGTAGTCAGGTGGGATAGCCGAGGTCATACACAGAGGAGCAAGAGAGAATATCTATTAGCCCAGCCGAGGTCAGATCAGGGTTAAGCAGAGAAGACAGGTCCAAGAGCAAGCCAAGTCGGTATCAGGAAATCACAGATCACAATAGCACAGGAACAAGGTACTGGGAAGCCAGAGATCAGCCAGCACCTGAGAGTAGGGCAGGGCTTCCTTATAAAGGCCGTTTGGACCAAATTTGAGCCAATGTGAACTTTTGCGGCCATGCAAGGTACTGGCAGGGGTGCCAGGTCTCCTAACACCTCTACCGAGAACAGGGCCCTGACAGTGCCCTCCCCTAAAGGGCAGCCTCCGAATGCCTACTTGGGTCATCTTGTCTGGATATTTGGAGTAAAACTCTTGGAGAAGTCTGGGGGCATGTACGTTGTCCTTTGGTTCCCAGGAGCTTTCTTCGGGAGGATACCCCTTCCATTTGATCAAGAATTGGATTTTGCTTTCCCCTTTTCCTGCAGTCCAGGATTGATTTTACCTCGTATTCTGCCTCCTCCCCAAACTGTTATTGGCGGCGGAGGTGGTTCCACTCTTCCTGGAAACGGGTCATGAACCACTGCCTTGAGCAGAGAGACATGGAAGACTGGATGAATCCTATATGATTCGGGAAGAGATAGCTCATATGCTACTGGGTTAATTTCTCATTTGATCTGAAAGGGGCCAATGTATCTTGGTCCCAGCTTCCGTGATGTGCAAGGAAGTTTCAGGTTGGCTGTAGACAACCAAACTTTGTCTCTGACCTTCAGAGAAGGATTTCTCCTCCATTTCCTGTCATAGTATTTTTTTATAGTCTGTTTGCAATCTTTGTATGGACTCTTGGAGAGCTTGATAGTTGTCCTGTATCCTGCTAACTCTGTCTTGTACTGCAGGTACCGAGGTTTCGAGTATGGTATCCAGCAGGCAGGAAGGGTGGAATCTGTAATTAGCTCAAAATGGTGACTGATTCGTAGCTGAATGGACGGAATTGTTGTAAGCAAATTCTGCTAATGGGAGTAGGGATGTCCAGTCATCCTGGGAAAAAGGCGGAGAAACAGCATAGATATTGCTCTAACATTTGGTTCATTGTTTGTTCAGTTCAGCCATTACTTTGAGGGTGGTAAGCAGATGATAGGCAGAGTTCCACTTTCAGTGTTTTGCATAGGGCTCTCCAAAACCTGGAGGTAAATTGAACCCTCCGGTCTGAAACAATATTGCTGGGCAGTCCGTGTAGCCTAACGATTTCCTTCATAGAGGCATGTGCTATCTCAGGTGCAGATGGAGTACCTATCATTGGCAAAAAGTGGGCCATTTTGGATAGCCAATCTATCACCACTAGGATGGTAGTAAACCCCTCAGAGGGCGGCAAGTCCACAATAAAGTCCATTGCAATCATTTCCCAGGGGGGCGATTAGGAATGGACAGGGCCTCAGCAACCCCCATGCCTTGGTTTTGTCTCCCTTGCTGCGTAGACACACACACTGTGCAGGATTTTACGTAGGCTCTGCAGTCTTGACTTAAGTTGGGCCACCAAAATGATCGCTGGATCAGTTTCATTGTTTTCGGGCTCCAAAGTGACCAGCAAGTTGATGGTCGTGGGATGTCTTGAAAAATGTACCTCTGGGGTACAAAGATCTTATCCTAGTGCCAAAGAAAGCCATCCTGCCTCCTTAACGAGTCCTGTTCAGGTTTGGCGCACCTGTGCAGAGGCCTGTTCAATCAAAAACTTCAGACTGGGCTGGATTAACAAATAATTTTGGCCAGACAGGATGGTATCGGGGGGGGTGAAGGTTCAACTGAATCGGGAACATAGGATAGAGCATCTGCCTTCCATTTTTGGATCCTGGGCGGTAGGTGATATGAAAATTGAACCTGGAGAAATATAAGGCCCATCTAGCTTGCCGCAGTCTTAGGCACTTGACGGATCTTAAATATTCCAGATTCTTAAGATCTGTGAAGTCATAATTGTCGGGTGACTAGCTCCTTCCAAAAGGTACCTCCATTCTTCGAAAGCCATTTTGATCGCCAGAAGTTCCCTGTCGCCTACGTCATAATGCCTTTCAGCTTGGCTTAGTTTCCTGGAGAAAAAGGCTACCAGATGGAGCAGAGCTTTTGGGCC